TCTCTAGAAGCAAATTACTTTGAATTTAATTACTTTTAATAGTGGAAAAGTAGCCCAATTCATTACAATTGTTTGGCCTATGTAAGTTAACTGTTAGTTGAATCTTTCATCCATGATTAAGCTGGAATAAATTTCAACTTTCAACTCCTAACTGTTTAAGCTTAGATTATTATTATTATTATTATTATCAACCCATCTTGATTATAAGATTGTAAATGCAATAATGAGTAAAATATTAAGTACAACCACACTGGAGATATGACACACTACCCTTTCTATGTCTCCACCCTGTTGACCTTTATTTAAGAACCAAAATTTAATAGCATTAATGCCCCTTTATACATACTACCATGCCAAATTTTGTTTCTTAAACATCACTCATTGTGAGATATAGTTTAATATTTCAGAACAGAATAAAGAAATTAAATAAATTAGATGCCAACACACACACGCAGGCATATGCTTGAATTTTACCCTTTATTTGACAGTTTTGGGTTCGAGAGATCTCCAAATGTGGAAATTTGCAAAAAACTCAGTGTCAAATGTGACACAATATTCGAATACTTTTCTGGTTTTTTATATACATAACAAGTTGGGAAAGTAAAAATGAGTTGGAGTCGGCAGATTTTTGACAACTCTCACTAAAACACCAAAACTCCACGACGCCAACTCCGTAGCCCTGGTTTATTGCCTTAACTGTGTTTTTTTTGTGTTTAACTGTGTTCTCAGAATAGCATTTAACCTACTTTGGTATTCTTTAATTAATCTTTGCTTTATCTGTGTATGTTCTGTTAGTTTGGCCTGTTGAAATCCTAAATACTTGTAGAACTCGCCCTCTTCCATGGATTCAATAACATCTACATTTCCAAGTGCAAAATCTTCTTTCTTTAGAATTCCTTTTTTCTATATGATGTGTTTTGCATTTGTCTAGGCCAAACTCCATTTGTATGTCCATGGTGTATGTGTGTGTGATTTGTAGGAGCTGCTGAAGTTGTTTTTGTGTGGATGCATAAAGATTTATGTCGTCCATGTACATGAGATGCGACAGCGTAAACTGTGTTGTTTTTTCATGTCTGATATTGTAGCCATATTGTGTGTTGTTTAACATGTTGGATAATGGGTTCAGGGCTAGGCAGAACCAGAGAGGACTCAAGGAACCTCCTTGAAAAATTCCTCGCCTAATGAATATTTCGTTTGTTTGTACAGAAGTGTTACTAACCCTGATGAGATGTAGTGTTGTTCTCCAGTGCTGCATAGTGTTTTCAAAGAATGCAATGAGTGATGGATGTATTTTGTAGATGAGTAGAATATGTAGCCAACTCTGTGGAATACTGTTGAATGCTTTTCTAGTCTACATAAGCCATGTGTATGTTTCTGTGTTGTTTGTATGTTTGCCATAGAATGACTGAATCTATGAGTAACTGTTCTTTGCATCCCCTGTGATTTCTACGGCAACCATTTTGTTGTTATGTAAGAATGTCGTGTTCTTCAACATGTTTGTATATTTTGTTTGTGATACAGGATGTCAATAATTTGTAGAGTGTTGGAAGACATGCAATTGGTCTGTAATGTGTGGGGTCTAAGGTACTGTTGTTTTTAGGTTTTGTGTAGATGATGCCCTAGTAAGAAATTTTGGCATGTCTTGTGGATTGATGATGATGTGTGTGTTAGGTGTTTAGCTAGTTCCTGTTTCAGTGATGCAAACTTTTTGTACCAGAAATTGTGAATGTTGTCTACATCAGGTGTCTTCCAGTTGTGTATTCTGCTAACACTGTATCAGATGTCATGTACATTTATTTCAGCACAGGGCATAGTTGGTATGTTGTGCAAGTTTCTGTTCTCCTCCTTAACCCAGCCTGCATCAGCATTGCATGTGACAGCACTGGACCGTGGAGAAGACCAATAATTTATGAGTTCTTCTTCTGTTGGTGCGTCACTGTTCTGTGTATCAGTGGTTGTTTTGGTACTAATTTGTCTGTAGAAGAGTTTTTATTGTTTGTAAATAATTTATTTTGTTTTCATAGTGAACATGCTTTGTATCATTTGAGTCTACATGCTCTAGTTACAAGTTTTTGATTTAGTGTAACAATGTATTCTGTAACATTCATGTTTTGTGTGTGTATTAATTTTCTTAAAAATGTTTTTGAATTGTTTCTTTAATTCTGTCTACAATAACACTAATACAACAGTTAAAACTAGTGACATCATTAGTGCATGTTATGTTATGTACTAGGGTTTCTCCTAGTACCTAACATAACATGCTTAAAAAACAGCTGTGATCCTGGATTTTCAAGGATCACAACTGTTTTTTAACCTTCAAACTCAGATCCCTTACATATTATGTCACACACACCTTATATCTCTGAGAAACAACATTTATTGCTTTAACAAACATTTTCAACCTGATCAACAAGTCATCATCAGGTATTTTCAATTCTCTGGAACGTTTTTATGGTGGTTCTATATTCAAACTTTGAGAATTTCTCATCGTTTGAATGGTGTCGGAAGTCAGGAAAACTTCTGTTGATCTTCTACTGACTCACTAAATTTCAAGATTGGAGAACTATGAACCAAGAACGTCACATCCTTGACATTCTTGGTTCATAGTTGAATTGAATCGCACATTTTTATTCATTTTACACCATATTCCACTCATTGAATGGCCTCCCCTTGTCACCTGGTGACAATTCGAAACCTTTCTGGAGGCGCGGGAAAGGTCAACTTCATGACTAAATCAGACTCCATTCTAACTAAATTTCCCTAGACTTTGCCATTCTCCTCATTTCATCTTTTGTTTTACGCTTGATAATAAAACCCTCTTTGTTTATACATGACCTTTAAGTCTTTCTTTGTTCATTTCTGAAAAGTGAGAGCTCTCCAGCTCACCAGACAGTCAACATTTGAATTTGAACCTTAAAGTTCAAATTCCATCCGGGACCTCAAATGTCCAAGTGTGTTTTCAACCTTCAGTAAAAATGGGATCTGGTAAAACATTAACAAATAATGAAAAATACAAGATATGTCATTCAGAGACTGAAAATCTGAATGTGTCACTGCAGGACTATTAGAAAGATCATAGATTCACAATTACTTAAAGGACCCTGACAATTACAACAAAGCTAAACATTGTGGTATGCCAAAAAGAACTTTCTGCCAGAGATGACAGGACAATATTGAGAACAGCTACATTTTCTGGTATGTCATATAGTCAGATTACAGCTTCACTATCTACAACAGCAAGAACAGGATATTTTCTGAAAGTCTTCAAATCATGCATACATAAAAATACTGGCATAGCCAAAATTGACAACCTCCCATATAAAAAGGCAGCTGGACTTTGCAATATGTTTTGTTGGCCATTCAAATTTACAGAATCCCACAGCTTTTAGTGATGAGAAGAAATTTAACCTGGATGGCAGTAATAGCGTGCAATACTATTGGCTTGATATACGTCACCAACCTCAACTTTTATCACTTTGTATACAAGGTAGAAAATCTGTCATAGTGTGGGCAGCTTGCACTTATCAGTTAAATTCAGTTATTGCTTTCATTTCACCTCATTCAGAGGCAGTTGACTAGCAGTATGTGTTGGGAAATTATCTTCTACCATTAAGAAATGAAGCAATGAACATGTTATTTTTCAAAAGGATAATGCTCCTGTTCATAATACTGCCTCAACAACATACAGTAGTTGTTGGTAATAATACCAATATTTTGCCATGGCCGACTGTATAGCCTGGATTTAAACTCAATAGAAAATCTTTGGGGTGATTTGGTAAGAGTGGTTTATGCCAATGGAAAACAATTTAATGTATGTTTTTGATCTTAAAGCAATTGTAACTACTTGGAATGAAATTGGTCTTGAAAAGCTAACAATTCTCAGTACATTCATGACCAATTAACTGACTGATATTATTTAAGTTAATGATAAATAAAGTAAGTATTAAACATTAGTTTTCTCACTATATTTTGTTTTTTATTGTGCTTTTCTGTTCTTGGTCGCACATTTTTTCAAGACAAATTGCAAGCAATAATTTGTTGCATTTGAATTTCTTAAATATGAAAATAAATTTTAACTTCATATTTGGTTTATAGTTATTTTAATACCTGACCAACAACATATTTACAGATAAGTTAATTTTAATAAAGAAATTTGAAAATACAGGTGGTCTCAAAGTTTTTCTAGGACTGTATACAGTAATACCTCAACTTATGCGAACCCGGAGTTACGCGATTTTCAAATCTCGTGGATTCGTCTTTTGTTTGAGCGGCACGCAGCTCTTGATTACTCACTCCCCCACACTATCGTTCAGCTTACATGTTCGGATGTGTTGTGCAGAATCGACGCATAGTTACAATTTATTTTGTGTTATTTATTTCTGTTTGTTATATATACAGAGATTTGAGAGACTCTATATGGTGATTTCTTGTAACCGCAAATGAATCAAAAAACGTGATAAGATTAACAAGAACGTTTATTAGCTTACATACATCCAAATTTGGATTTTACACAAATTGCAAAATTATACCCCGACTTATGCGAATTCGACTTACGCGGTTATCACTCGGTCCCACCTATCGCGTAAGTTCGGGGTATCACTGTATTCAAGATTCTACATTCTTATGAATGTATTTTTCTGTTACACTGAAAATCTTCAAATCAAAAAATAAGCCTGAAGACGATCCTTAAAAATAGCCTAAAACAATTGCATTTTGAATAATTACAGCTTGTTGATTTAAAAGATGGAGGTAAGTGATTTTTTGATAAATAAAACTAAACAGTTTCTGTTTATTAAAAGAAACTTGAGAAAGTAAAATATATTCAACATTTTCTCAACTTTCTGAAAGTTTTCACCATCTGTTATTACATATGTATATTCAAAGTGATGTTTAATAAATGGTGTTTTTAGTCATGAGTCAAAATATTCAAACACATATCTATGAATGTACATGTATGCTTTGTTTCTGTACTATACTTAGTATATTTAAATCCTCCTTACCTTTCATCATGGAATTTTTTTGTAAGTATCACTTCAGCTTTTCTATTTTCTACTTCAAAACCTTCAAAATTTGGTATTGTTCTACTTATAATATCTTTTCTTTTAAACTGTGTTTTAATCTCTTCGTTTAAAAATTCCACTATTTTTTTATCTCCTGAAAAATATTAAATTTATATATCATGTAATCATAAAACATTGTATATAAATATATTATTATAATTTGAAATAATTATCATCCAAATATCTAAAATAATATTATTCATAAGTAGAGTTTCAGAGTCTCAGCTAGTTTACATTCTGGGACTTGAGACTATTTTTTCAAATTCCAGGAATTCTCAGGACTACATAATTTTAGTCATAAAAATCACAGTTTAGCTACGAAAAATATTAATACTGTCTATCAGTGTTATCATCTTTTATTTGAAACAACACTAAGTACTTTTGACAAATTACAGATTGTCTTCTTCAGGTATAGAATAATATAATCTTAACAGAAAACTACAATTTAAGATATACGTTAATGTGTTCCAAAGAACAAATTTAAAACATATTCCATATTCCAGGATGTGTCAATACATTGAAAAAAATAATAATAATAAATAAGAGTTAAAATTCTTTGTGAACGGATTTTATTTTCTTGAATAATTTACAGACAGAATCATAATTTTTTTCCTCGTAAAATCGCTTCTAGGCATCATTTTGACAGGAAAATGGAGAGAAAATTAAGTGATGTTATTGGAAAACAAATGAATAATTCTTTAAAGTTTCGCTACCAACTACTCTCTAATTCCCCAAACAACGTATTTATTATTTAGTAAACCAGAAAGATTCGGCATTATATCATTGTTACTTAATGTGGTTTATGATTTTAAAGTCTTATAATCAATCGATTAATTTTGAGATGAAATAGATTCTTATTGAAAAAAACTTTAAAAAAAATCTTATTAAAAATATCAACTGGTTTGAATTTAAAATTTTAAATTTATTAGGAGATTTAATAATATACGAGTAACTTATAGAATTTGGATAGATTTATTCTACATTCAAGAAAACATTTGTCACATAATTCACTTGCATTATTCTCAAAAGTGGAATAAGTGTAATGTCTCGTAGGATTATCCACCTTCAACATTCGATAAGAAACACCGAATTTGTTTTTTGTTGTTCTATTTTCTGCACTCTTCAAATAGAAAGTGCTTATAGCAACTCTGATAAATTGATAATCTACTGGTAAACATTCCTCTCTGTTTATTTTTATGATAAGTTTTTATATATTAAAAAAAANAAATTTAAAACATATTCCATATTCCAGGATGTGTCAATACATTGAAAAAAATAATAATAATAAATAAGATAGAAATAAAAAGGTTGGGGATACAAAAAATGCATAATTTACAATTTGAAGGAAAATTATCATGCTAACCTCCTGTATAATGTGCACCATATTGCCAGAAGGCCAAGCAAAGGTTTTACACACAAACTAAGCATTGTTATGTAAAGTGACTCCCACATGAAAGTGACCCTTTGATCTGAGCACTGTTGAAGTAGGGTGACATTGGCCCATAATACATTGTAACCATTTTCTAAGGCGTTTCTGGCAAGTTCAAGGCTCTGCAATTTCTGATATCATCCCAATGTCTTTGAAATCAGCTACCCAATTTCCTAGTTGTCCCAATACACTGTATAAATTTTGCTCCTTTCCAATGCAGCATTTGCAAATGCATTTCATAATATATATAGTATTAAAATTTGATACTAAGTATTTAATAACTAAATAATGCATAATTAAAAATGTTGAAAATTATCGTTAATTAATGAAAATGGTTTTTCATCATCAAGACTTAAAATATAATATAGATTTTGAAAATTTTATTTTCATTCTTAGTCTATGCTGTCTTTGCACATTTTTACCTATATTTTTAAATCTTTCGCAGCACACAGTTTGGCAGACACTGATATAAAGTAAAAGTGTTATTGAAAATTAATAACATTTAAATTTTATGAAAATAATATTAAATTGCTGGAAGACTTTTTTGTTCAAAGTTAATTGCTAAAAAATGCTATAATAATTAGGAAAAATGAAAAATACTGATTTACAGTTTTCACTTGGGGTATAAATGTTCCATTTATTTATTTGAACATGAACTGATGTGGCATTTTGATGTGCACAATTGGTTTATCTTCTTGCACGCTCACTTTTATTTTTATACACTTATGAAAAATCCTTGTCCCCCAAACTTTGATTCTTTCACCACAGCTTCATGTAGAGAGACATTTTTTTGGGATATCTTCAAGAATTTGCATCCCAGAAATCTGGAAATCATTTCTACTGAACACCTTTTGTTCCAATTTAATAAACGTTACTTTTTGCATCAAGAATTTTTCGTATTACACTTTGGTAGTCTAATGGCCCTTGGTCAACCTTTGGAATGTTCAATAAAATAAAGTCCCCAACTTCAACAGGTTTTAGTTTTTTTTTGTAGTAATTTTAATCATTTTTTCTGTTGCCCTTTCCTGGCCTCCATGTGATAATTGTTGTTCCTCTGCAATTTTTTCTTGTCTTTTGCAAGTATTGCAAACAAACACCACTGATATCTTTAGAGATCCCTCCAATGCTCTGAGCACAATTCTTTTGAACTTTTAATGAACACGACGAACATAATGTTACGTGCGATTCATTGAGATTGCATACACAAACAGAACAAGTATCTTTCTCAAAATTTCCCTCCTGATTTTTGTTTATTTCCTCAATGGCTTCTCGTTCTAAGTTGCTTTCCTTATGTTATACCAAATCTTTGCTATGAAGAGTTTATAAAATTTCTTCTGAAATATTTGTCCCTAATCCTAATTTTGGTTCCGATCCAAAGCATTACATAGGAACTTCTGCTAATAACTCAATGCTTAAAAGAGTTCTTTTGCCACTGGACGTTACGTGCAGTGGCAAAAGCAGCCTATTACCCAGTCTGTACTATCAGTATCATCTATCCATGCACACAACATATCTTCAACATCCTAATTACATTGCTCTACACTCCAGAGATTGAGGATATTGGGGTCTTGGGTGTACTATTTTACATTCAGGCCATATAACTGAAAGTTGTTCAATGACATTAGCTGTAAAATCTCTTCCATTGTCACTCTGCAAACTATATGGCATGCCAAGTCTAAAAATATTTTCAGCAGTTCCAGTGCAACTTCTGCTGCACATTTTGTTTTCACATGGCTAAGAACACAAAATTTTGTTGCACCATCTTGATAGTTCATTAACCATTTGTAGTCTCTACTGGGAGTAGATTGAAAATCAATCAAGTCAACTTGGGACCAAAGATTAAAATCCTTTGAAGTGATTGGTCATACAATAACAGTTTTGTGATTCTTCAAATTGCACATTTTACATAGCAATACAAATAACTCAATAGATGATCTTGGGATGTAAAACTTACTTTTCAGAGCAAAGAACATTTTATCAAGAGCAAAGAACATTTACTCCATAATCTGTTGAGCAATGATATTGAAGTAATATATCAAAATATTCCTCAATAGGAAGAATTACCACAACAGGATCATCAATGCTTTTTTTTTTCTTAATTAAAACTGGGTTTTCCCCAAGCTCCATTGTATCATATTTCATAATTAGTCCTTATTGCTTACTACTTTTCTTCTTGTCATGGTTTCTTGAATCTAACATTTCAGACTACTTCATTTACACTTGAATTCGTCCAAGGTTTTTTAATTACGGTGATTCTTACTACTGTATTCTTTCATTTTTTTCATTAAATTTCAACTTCATATAACATAATTCTTCTTTGGAGCTACAGTAGAGCATCGATTATCTGACCCCCAATCAACCGTCACATCGGTTAACCGACCGTGTTCTAGTCGGCAAATTCAAATGTCCGCTAGTGATGTGGCGCAACAATATTTGGCTGTCTTGGCTACTTTAATATTATTTTTGTGTGTTTTAGCTGGCAACACTGGCTCAACCATGAAAGGGAGCCAGTATTTAGACAAGGTTTAATTTTCTAATTTTTAAAGATACAATAGCGACGATTATTATTTTAAAAAATTTTTGTTAGGCTTAACATCGATGAAAATTCAATGCGAAGTAGGTTAATAGTGATATACTAATATACTAATTACATGGGCTATACTAACATAGTATACTAATAATGTATTTTTTCATATTTTTCGGTTATCCGTTTTTTCAGTTATCCGACCAACCCCAGTCCCCAATTGAGTCAGATAATTGATACTCTACTGTATTTATAGCATCATTGTCTCACCATTTTTTTCTCAAATAAATGGAGAAGAAAATATGTGAGATAATCTACTTCCTATATCCATCTCTATTTCTAGGTCACTCTAAATCAGGGCTTCTTAAACTATGGGTCATGATCCCAAATGGGGTCACAAGATTTTAATGCAAAATATTGAAAATAATTTGTGAGAGTTTGAAAATGGCATGTTATAAGAGACAGGAAGGTAAAAATTGAAAACCTATAAATTCCCACTGTTCTCTGTCTTTCCTTAATCTCAAGAATGGTGTTAGATAAATGAAATTCAAGACCAGCTATTGAAAGCTTAAGAGCTAAAGGCCTCAATTAACTATCAATATATATGAACTTCTGATGCAAATTGGAAGTCACATTATTTCAATTCAAAAATTTTCCCTGGAAAGAAGTTACAAGCACGACCGGCACAAATCCATTGCTAACGTAAAAGTTTGACGAACAGAGGCAAAACACCGCAGTACTAAGTCGAGGTGAAGAGCATATATTTTAAATTAAATTAATTAAAAATACAATTCAAAATTGCAGCCCAGCACTGTGACGACATCAAAATAAATTTTAATTTTTACTAAATTTTTACCAAGTTGTAGAAAATACCAATAGAATTTTTGCTGCATATTTCCTTAACTTGGGAAATTGATATATGTATTAATATTTTATGCTCATCCCCTAGTAAAGTATTTGAAAACACTAGATTTAACCCGAGTTTTCTTAGCCATTTTGTACAGATCTTTCGACATTCAAATTTAGAATTAGTTAACATAGAATGTATTCAAATATAAATTTCCAAAAGGAAAATTAACAAAAATTAGCAATAAGCAAACAAAGATCATAAAGTAGAGGAATCATCATAAAATACAATCTTGCATTATAGGTGAGGCTCCTATAATGTAAGATGTATGTTAATAAGTTAATGTTCTTATTAGGAACTTTATAGTAAGTACAGTACATAAAAAATAGGAGGTGGTTATTTTTACCATCTCCGACTCCCGTAGAAACAAATTTGCTTCCAATTCAAACTACACGGCTTCGACATCAAGCAGCAGTTTGGACCGCATACACCCGTGCAACCCAATACTCATCTCCTCTGCCAAACGACCAACCGGATGGGAAGGCACGGGTAACGACGAACACAAAGCAGAACCTTAAACAAGCAAAGAGTATTACCAAAGTATTTTGCACGTTTGAATCCACAAGAGAAATTTCGTACACTCACGACATCATCAAAAGAGACCAAACGAACTTTATCGACGCCGAAAAGTTTTTCATTCAATTTGAAAAATAAAAGTACTACTAAATACGAAATCAACGAAAACTAACGACTTTAAAAAAAAAAAAATAACAAAGATTACAATTGGCAGTCACTGCAAAATATCATTAGTGTTTTTTGATTTAGTAAATGTACACAAGCAAATATGACTGTTTCCTCCATCTCCCGGACACTGCATTTATCATTTTTCTCTTATCCATAGTTTTTTCAATCTCCTAAGAAAAGTGATAAATCGAAGTTTCACCGTATCAATCTTTAATTTAAACAAATACAGTCAAATTTCAATTTAGTACAAGCATTTGTTTGTCTGTGAAACTGACATTAAATTAAAAACTTTCCTTAACTCGTACCAATTCATATCTTCGACGAATTAGGACGGAAAACATGAAATATTGATCGGATGGTGAATAAGCAGCTTATTTCGGCAAGTTAAAGAGAAAAACGTTCTCACCCTTCGGCCTATTGAAGCAGACGTTACATCCGCATCTACACTTCATGTTCAAGCCGACGGGAATCTGAGTTTTGATTACTTCTTTGATTGATTCGTCGCTGATACCACTCAGCGCCTTGCTCTGAACAAACCACGGACACGTTTCTAAAACATTTTGTCTTTTAATATTGTTACGCAGTCTCGAACTTTGCCTGCTTAACCGATACGCATTTTTACCGACTTTGATCATGATCCGAAATGCACCGAACCACGTTCTGCTGCAATTGCCGACGAACCACCCGCCGGTATACTGCCAGATGGTAATTCCACTTTTTCGCACCTAAATATTATTCAGTTTCAACTATAGAAATAACGTTAAAAATAATATTAATATTTAAAACTTAAATATATTCGGATTAGATAACAAATTAAGTCAATATTTAAATATATTGTATTTGTTCGATTTAATAATTTTACGCAAACACCTACGTTATACGGTATTTGTTGTTGCATTTTTATCGTCGTAGATAAGTTAAGTTAAATAAATTAAAAATGTGATTAAAAATTGCAGCCCGGCATTGTGATGTGCGTGTGTGTGATAACATCAAAAGATTACAGAGGTTGCGGCCGACGTTTTCAACGCGAAAACGTGTACGTCGGACGTTCAACACCGCCTTCCTGTAAGCCTAGAAGTTTGACAATGGCGTTTGGAACGTCAGTAGAATCATGTTCGACGTTCCAAATGCCATTGTCAAACTTCTAGGCTCACAGGAAGGCGGTGCTGAACGTCCGACGTACACGTTTTCGCGTTGAAAACGTCGGCCGCAACCTCTCTATTGTCTGAACACTTAAAGAACCAAATGTACAAATTTTCTATCAGTCAGATTGAAGTTGTTTCAATATATAAACAATAGAGATGAGTAATTCCACACCGAAGGTTTAGACAGTTCTGGTTGGAACTACTAATGCATTCTTCGTTCTGTACTTTTACGAATACGGTTTTCTAAGAAACGATGAATTCTTTATTATTATTTGAACTTGAACCAATGAAAATGTTCCACGGGTTTTTAGGAACAATCAAATTAGTTTAGAGAATTTTAAATTTACAAAGATGTTTTTATTAAAGTTCGTAATCATTGGTTTTATTAGTAATCAACAGATATGTCCGGCATTGCCCGTTCAAATAGGAAAATGGCTAAATGTTAAAATGAAAATCACATTACAAATTCGGTTATTTTATCTTACAATCGTTACGTTTATGTTTGTCGCGAAGTGTCGAGGAGATCAAATCGGGAAGAATGGGGTGTCCGGGTTTCATGAAAGTTTGCATTTTCCCTAGAAACTCAGATAATAAGAACGAAAAATTTGGTGCTGATAGTACAAAGGGTTTAGAAGTTAATTGGGAGATGAAATCAGAATGGGTAAGGTGTCCAGGTTTCGTGATAGTCTATATTTTTCTCAGATTCCGAGTTAAACAAGAGCAATTTGGAGCAGATCGATCAAAAACAAAGAATAGAGAGAAAAACATTTTATATCCTATACGAACGATTATTTATTGTGATATCATCACAATGCAAGGCTGCAATTTTTAATTATATATTAAATCAATTTAAAATATATGCTTTAACAATAGAGTCGTGCCGATCATCTGTTAACATCTTTCGGGAAAAGTTTTGAATTGAAATAACGTGACTTCTGGTGCAAACCGGAAGTTTATATATAATTAATCAGGGCTTTCTTCCCCTAAGGTTTCCATATCTGGTCTCGTCTTTCATTTATCTAACTCCATTCTCGAGTTTAAGGAAAGAGACGGAGGGTCGGACACACAGACGGACGACAGTAGGAATTTATAGGCCTACAATTTTTTTTCAAATTGCAGCCCAATAAAACCGACGAGGGCCTGTCTAGTCCAGGGATGTCCAACCGCGGCCCACTTAATATTTTTATATTGCCCACGGCCTACTACATTCTACACATTTTTTAAGATGCATTTTAATTTATTTTGGTAAAGTATGTCGTAAAAATTATTCTCGTTTCACTGGTTATACTTTGATGTCATAATAATGTAATTGGTTCTAGAAAACTGTTGTGCATGTGGAGTAATACATACGTGGTGAACAATTCTTTAATGCATGAAAAACATCAAAACTGCTGAAAGAAATAAGTTGAGTGATTCCAATTTAACTAACATCCTTAGAATTAAGACTAGTACCATAAAAGCAGATATTGACAATAATATAAAAGGAAAGAAATGTCAAAATTCGCATTGAATTTATTTTTATTTTGCAGGAATATAATTTTATTTTTTGATTGACAATAATATACATAATTACAAAAAATACTGTATTTGTTATTAACATTTGATATTCATATTTTGAGCTTTTTAAAAGCATATATTTATATAAAGTACCTTTGTGGCCTTCTGAATATACGTAAATTTTTAATTTGGCCCATTGGGGAAAAAGGTTGGGCAACCCTGGTCTAATCCAACAGACTAAACAATTCTGACGTTTGTGCAGTCCGAACCTTCACGAAATTCGCGAGAATTTAGTCAATTTAGAGAAAAAATTTAATTGCTTTAAAAAGGCAAGAGAAAAATGATTGTAATCCGATCCGACACCTTTTGTTTATATCAACTTGCAACGCAGAAACCAAAAGTCGTAGGAGGAGAATCGTTCTTTGATCGGTGAGAGATCGAATTCAGCTTCGATTTTGACCTTTCTCGCGCTCCAGGTAAGGAATTCCGTTACGTTTCGTAACGAGGGACCAGCCACATGGGAAGTGTGATTGAGGGAGAATGACCAATCAGAAGGGACGAAAGAAAGAACGGAGATTGATATACAGTCGACTCCCCATAACACTGTTGATAATTCTGTTTTATATGAATTCCACGTTGTACGAGTCACTTAGATTTTACAAATACGTGTGCCGGGCTGTGAACGGCTCACGTATTTGTTAAATCTAAGTGACTCGTACAGCATGGAATTCTTATAAAATGTAATTATCAACAGTGTTATTTGGGGGGTCGACTGTAATCCCTACAATCACCTCGCACTCTGCAAGTCAACATACTCAGTTAGTGAAGTTCCGAATCACGAAGACACCGTGTGAAAACACACAAAAGAACATTTTTCCCGTCTTTTCTGTCCATCCCGAAAACCGTGCTACCGACGCCAACCGACGAATCTCCTCACCTGCCGTTGCTCCGTAGTCCACCTTCGAGCGACAATCGAGAAAACAACTTCGATGCTTAGGCGACGTCCGAACAATCAATTGTTTAAAGCAACTATTTGTTCCTGGTGTAAGTTATTTCATGTTAAAATAAACGGTTTTTGTAAGATACTTGTCATTTTTGTCTCCGCCGCCACTACCCACATACGAAAGGACCCTAGACCAGGGGTGGCGAACCTATGGCACTCGTGCCCAAAGTGGCACGTAAGGAGAAATCATCTGGCACGTAATGTGTCATACGATTTCTGTCTTTTTCGATCATTCTTTCGGTTTATCACCTGATCAACTTTTTTCAATCAGCTTTTTCACATTTATTCTAATTAAAGCGTATTCGTTAAATTTCTTTAAATATCGTTATTCGAAGTCTGAAACTTTGGCACTCATAAACATTTTTAAAGCTAAGTATGCTTACAATATGGTACGCGAACACAAAAAAGGTTCGCCATTCCTGCCCTAGACCATCATTAGCTAACTCGCAATTAACTGATTGCCCCTAAAAGTCGGCTTACTTACACGTTACATAATGATTCCGAGGAACTGTCAAGCTATGCTCTTCTTCGGAACAATTAGGCTAGGCAAAACAGTTTAGACAAAACCTATGGAACTGTTCCGAAGGAAGGAACTGTTTCTATGGAACCGTTCCTTCCTTCGGAACAGTTTCACATTCGGACCAGTTCCAACAGTTCCCGTTTCAGCAGCGGAACTGGACCTCTCATCTCTAGTAAATGGGCTTACAAACGTATTTTAGGTTTAGAATGTATAAAATTTATTAAAATTATCACATATTATTAAACTTGATGATGGGTACATTTCTTTCCAATAATGTTTCGTGTCTGCCTTTAATACGTTTCGCCTAATTCTTCTAATTTAAGGTATTGTAACACATTATTTAATGGTTACGCCGCAATAACGTAAAAGGATATCGAATCCTAATACGGTTTACAGGTGGAAAAAGTAAAGTGCATACATTCAACAACAAACGTAAACAAACATCGCCTTTTCGCCGAAACGGCGATGTTTGCTTACGTTTGTTGTTGGTGTCGTTTGTGTTGGCAATGTTTGTTTCCGTTTGTGTTGGCCACTTCCTACGAGCGTCCTCTGTAGGAAGTGGAGCTTCTCAATAGGAGGACATTATTGATAAAAGGAGAACGGGAGGACGGTTGGCATCCTTAATCGTGGCTCCGTCGAAATTACGACTGGCTCGAGTGCCCTTAGGGCAAAAAGAGTTATATATATCAAATGATGTCAAGAAATATTTAATACGAATTGTATCGAATGGATATTTCAGGCTACTAAATAATAAAATAAACATTTCATTTAGCGTTAATAGATACCAATTAATTAATCAATTAATACGAAGAGTTCATTTATCATTTTACAGTCGGAAATATTCGTTCGAGAGAATTTACGTGAAGTGCTATTAGTTGACAAAATGTCAAATGATAATTATCGACATATTGTAATTTAACATCCTTTAACATTATTTCAAATATCTGAATTCAAATCATTTCAATTTATAGTAAATGATTTTAATTGTGCTATTTTAAATTATATCAATTAATACTTTTATCAGGATAGTTTGAGAAAAAATAAGTTGACACTTGACATGTATATTCTGTACATACGCTCGTACTATACATTTATGTTTTTTTTTTTCTCCGCTAAAAAGAACATTTAATTTTTATTGTAAAAGAAATCGTCTTTCGTCCCGATAACGCGGGTTCGACAAACTGGAAATGGTAACGCGTCGATCCGAGTCGGTCGGGAAGTACCGACGTAAACTCGTAGATTATTATTTTTTCCTTTGTTCGTTTCCTTCCTTTTCATTTCCTCTTCTTCTTTCCGTCGCTCGTTTCCCGTTGTTTAAAATTAAAGAGATTCTCGATTTTTAATTCGAAACTGTTCCCTCCCGACGACATCGTCGTCTCTGTTTCGAGTGACATTGGTTTTTGTCGCGTTAAACTTACTTATAATAATAGATTTTCCAAGGACGAAGTTTTCCATTAGTATATTTGGAGATAAATTCTTAATTTTTATATAGTGAACGAAACGTTGTTGTTTATTAATTTAAGTTACGGCAACGCAACACTTGGGTGATCTGCCTAAGAGAATGCCTTCCGGGAGGTCATTTTAAGAGTATTCGGGCATTACAGACGTGGAGAAAATCCAGAAAATTCCACAAGATCAGCCTGTCGTAGCCAGGAGCAACCCCCCCCCAATGTTCGGGGAACGGAACCACTTGGTCATTGGTGAGCCCAACAACGAATTATAAAAAAGAAATAATAGATGCGTTTTGGCACAAGTGGATCGATAAATAATTATTTTTGTATATACAGTATACAAAATGAAATTGTCAAAATATTCTTACAACCTGAAAGGATTTTTAAAAATAATTTAAAAAATAAACCAACGACGAGTTGCACAACTTTCCAGGTAACATTTAAAATTTTCGTGGCGTCATCTGTTATCATATTTTATTTTAAAAAGTTTTATGTTTTTAACTGTTATAAAATGGCATAAACCTTCATTTTCAGGGTAGGGATGTGTTTGATCAAAAATTGTAAATGCTAATTACTAGTAAAATCCTCATTAAATCCGACCTTACGACCACCATTATTATAAACACCAAAATTTAATAGCATCTTAATAGTATCGATCCCCTGATAAACCAATCTTCCTGCAAAATTCAGAAATTTTCGACAGAAAGCGCAGGAGTTATTAAGCTTCAAATAGGGTGAACAAAATTGTGCCCCCCCTCCCACACACACAAACACACACACACACACACACACTGACATTCATACGTAAAAAAATTACCACTGAATTTTTTTCTTTGCATTTCTCGGCGTTTCGAGGTGTAATAAGTCCAAAAATGTAAAAAGCTTGAAAGGTCATTTTTTGACCGATTGCCACACCTTTCCTCCTTTATACATATCAGTCGTAAAAGTAAACAGATTCATTAAATATTAAAATTAAGCATTCGTTTATTTTTCAAAGTAAAACAGGTTTAAAAAATTTTGTAACACTGTTTTATTTACAATCGCCATTCTTACGTTTTTAGTAGTTAAATTTCAATAATTAAAATTGAAGTAAGTTATTTGTTACGAATCGAAATTGGTCCGAACTGCCCTTGATGGAAATGTACTCGATAGAACGTAGAAGTTATTATCAATAATGCATAAGTTAGGGCAGTGACTCCCCGCCAAGTAAAAAAGTCACCGATCAAACTACATATACAGGAATCAGAGTTACCGATATTCGGGAGTCGATGTCCCGTTTCCCAAACACCTATAGTAAATCGGAATATCTCGTTCGAAAGAAAATCGTTTTCTTAGCTAGTGTGCAAAATTTCAAGATTCTCTATAAAGCGGTTGTCGAAATATAAGCAATCGAAAAGTGAAAAAAATGGCCAAAAAGAGCTGTATTTTATTTTCTTCATCTGGCACCGCAGACGGTCGCAGAGAAAATACTATTGGGCTAGAAAGCTGAAATTTTAAACTTAAGCCTTTCTGGTTATCGGTGAGGTGCTGGAGAAATTTAAGGGTCGATAGGTCAAAGTTCACGGAGGGTTTCCTATAATGCTAATTCAGTTTTACGGCTTAATTTTATGCTTACAGAATAAAAGAATATAAGAATAAAATTGCACAAAAGAAATGAATTTTATTCAAAATGTTACTCAGAATTACAAAAGCTTAAATTTATGCCAATTAAAACTTTTCATATAGATTTTTCTAAATGGCGTATCGAAAGCATCGGCCGGCGGTCTACTGATCTTATGTCTTGATGTAAAATAATACAATTATTAAACGAAAACAATTGATATTCAAACAAAAACATCCGAGAACTTAGGAGGTTTTCTTTGGTAAAGATAAGATTGGCGCTTGGAGGCGAAATGCAGAAAACAGGCAAAAATTTTGACCGTCGTATAAATTTTCATAAATCTTTACTTTGTGAAATTTTTTTACATCTCAGATGTTCTTGTTTGGATACAATATACAGTGACACCATTTTACCAGGCTTTTTAAAAATTTTACAGTATTATAAGCATTTGGATCGCGAAACCATTACAAATATATTGGGTTGAGTGAGAAAAAAGTTTGAGAAACGCTGTTATACTGCTTTATTATGTACTGTTTTATTAACACAGTAACATTTTTCTGTTTGATTTGACAAATTGAATGAGTCGACTTCAAAATTCCCAGTGTGCACGGCTTTGTTGTTAGCTATTGTTAAAATGGAAATGAAGGTACAACACTGGATGAATTACTACTAACAAGTAAATAAAAATTAATTTAAGTTATATTAATACGTTTTTTATTGTCAACACAGCCTTTTAATATCGGTATCAATAAAACTAGAATTTGAATTAATTACAGTAATTATACTGTTTATTTATTTACCAAGCTTAATTAATATTATTAGAGATTGTATGCGTTCTCTTATAAGTGACATTTTTGTTACGCGCGAACACATACATATACTGTAAATTCATACGTACTGTACACATTCGTACAATATATACAAACCCATACATATATACTGTATACGTAGTAACGTATGCAGTATATATGTATGGGCTTTATTTCATTAAAATAACGTCCGTATTTTAATTTTATTTATTTCAAAATTTTTTGTACTACCTTTAGTTTCTACTTATGTATCTATCACTCGCAAACTGATAAAAGTTTTAACGGGGGTCGACTTTTGTTGGACATCCGGAGAAGAGAGGAAGTTACGGAAACTTGGACAAACCGGAACAAGAGAGAAGGGGAATAAAAAAACTTCAAGAAAAACGTGGACAGCTCCTTATAGAATACACGTACAGTACAGTATAGTCGACCCCCTATAACACTGTTGATTATTCTGTTTTATATGAATTCCATGTTGTACAAGTCACTTAGATTTTACAAATAATTGATCCATTTACAGCCCGGCACATGTATTTGTAAAATCTAAGCGACTTGTACAACATGGAATTCATATAAAACGGAATAATCAACAGTGTTATAGGGGGGGTCAACTGTACCTGTGACAAAACATGTTTGTTTTATAATATAATAATAATATAATATATAGATGTGAATAAAANTTAATGTTACGTGTGGTTCCAAAATGGCCGCGCTTCCGACTGTTTCAAGGTCTATATAAGAAGGCCAGAACGCGTGATCTACTTCTTGAGCCGCCATTTTGGGTTGTTTTTGAGTCGCATGTTTTGTTTGTTTTATAATATAATAATAATATAATATATAGATGTGAATAAAAATAAAACAAGCAGATATTCGTAAAACCTAAATACAATCTTCTCGAACTGCACTTTCAAAAATAACTACACTTTACCAACCTTTAACCTTAATAAAATAGACTGCATATTAAAGGTTGGTAAAGTGTAGCTAAATACAATGTTTTATTTTGCTTTCGTTCGTGTTATATAGAGCCGTATTTATTTAGAAGTATTAAAATTTCATCGGGTCGATTTATCGATTATTAAAAATTCGGAAAATGAGAGAGAAAAACGGTGGAAGTTGTCAACCGGACAAACGAGAATCGAACACTTGTTCTAACGGAAGCCACCGTTTGCAGCACGTGCTCGGCTACATACTGCGCAGGAGCGGAAAATCGTTTTTGTAGATAAACATGGCGATACGGTAAAGAGGCGGCGTGTGTTTGGCGGCGGTCGAGATCGGGAGAGGATGGACGAAACAGACAGAGTGACGGAAACGAAGAACGTAGCTTTAAATAACGTTTTGCGCGACGGAGGATCGGAAGCGGATAATGTCGCCAAAAAAAAGCGGAAAAACACTTATTTATGCGTTGTTATTTTATTTTTCATCAATTTGATTAACTACATGGATAGATACACCGTTGCCGGTAGGTACTGCACGCTTTTACGTTTAATTCGAATAGATAAAAATTCTTGAAATTACTAAGGGTAATCCTGTTGATATTGACCGACGTAAACTGCAGGATTACATACAAGGTATTTAAAATTTAACAAACGACTCTACGGTTAAAGTACTGTGTGTATCTGGATCTACTGCTATCGTTATCTCGTTGTATGAGTAAAAATCCCGTCTCGCCCATGTTTTTGCTTCGTCCAATGTTATGTTACTGATGATGGAGGATTTTTACTTTCCCGGCTGTTATACAATATAATATAAGGAACATACAGTGATAGGTCAAATTTTAACTCCCCTGCTTTGTCTTTCCTTTCTCCTCTTGCCTTTTGACATCCAAAAATGTAAACTATGCCTCCGTACAAAATTGTGCGTATGTGTCTACTTTGCATTGTATCTCCGAACTGGATGAACCGACAGTTTCGAAACTTGGCGGGATTATTTTTATATACGGGGCATCCACGATATTAAATTTTGGTACGTAAAAGTCCGTGGGTGGGGAGATAGTGGGGTCGGACTTAATGAAAGTTTTACTCGTCTTTAGCATTTATAATTTTTGGTACTTTTCTGTTAACGGTGTGGCTGTCAGCCATATTTTAGTTTTTATATAGTTCGTAAGTTCTTTACTTTTTTCTATTTTCTTCTTTTGTTTCTACTTTCTTATTTCCTTTCCATTGTCTCAAAGCAATTTCTACATGAACCATTACTGTTTGAGGGGGAGGATTACCCTTTCTAAGAATAAGAGTTGAACAAAGGAGGAAGAGATTAAGACTTCCTTGAATTTGGGGAGATAGACAAAGGGAGTAAGAGCCCAAGACAACGAGAGAGACGAGTAGTAGTCACTTTTTTTGGTTGGACCTCGGAGAAAGCAGATGTAGGACACAGCGCTCCAGACTCGAAAGAGGGTGAAAGAGAGGAGACTGCAGTTGTGAGAGAGAACCCTGCCAAGACTGAACACAGAAAGAGGTACGAGGATCCATTGGACATTAGAAGAGTGAGAGAATCCAGACATCAAACTGCTGGTTTACTAGAGAAAGAGAAGGGATCACGATTGTGAGGACAGAAATCGTTAAGGAGATCGATCAGACGACTTGAACCCGAGTACTTTCTGTTTACTTTCCTATTGTACCTTTGCTTTCCTAAGTCTATTCGTTTCTTTTCCTCATTATTTTAAGATAGGTGTAAGGTTAGTTTTAAGTTAGTCATTAGATTTATTTGGTTGTTCTGTGTTATGCGCACATGTGGTATATCCCTGTAAAATTAATAGGAGGCAACCCACTTCCCTGTATAGTTATTGAAGTGAAAATCTGTCGGGTTGGGATCGGTGTATTAAAAGAACCACATTCGGAAACAATTAAAAGAATATGTATCGTGTGCAATTTTGTTTGTGTTGTTTTTTGTAACAGTTACTCACTGACCCACAAATATCTTTCTGAACAACCACAATGGGATACTGGTTGACGTGCCAGTGAGATTCGAGCTCCGAACCGGGAGTTTTGCATCCTCCGGAATTGTCGATCCCCCGTACACCAGCAAAAAAGTCGGAGGAACCGTACCACTAGTGCAGCCCTTAGATGTTCGCCAACAAAGGCCGATTTGTAATGTTTGTTGGTGTGCCGCCGATGGACATTTCTTGTGCTCTGCTTCGTCATGTGCTTCGGTGCTTGCTACCACTCATGCCTCGGTGCCCGGGTGGGGCAAGCCTTAAACTATACAACTTCAAGGGTTCCACGAACAGTTAAGTGGGCTACTTGAAGCTGATGTGGTTGCTGAGACTAAATAGTTAATGTTGTCATGCATTGGATTAAAGTTAGATTGATGTCCTGTTAACGGAAAAGTACCATAATCTTTTTTTTAAAATAGCTCCTGCCATCAAAAATAAGTAAACCAACGTTTTGTATGGCATCTACGATGGACATTGTCAGGTTTAACTGATAGAACATATAATGGAAAGACAAAAAATTAAAATTAAAAATTTCTTAAATGGAATGTTTCTAAATTACGGATAGAGTACATGTAGAGTTGTGTGCTTTGGATATGAAATACTATCATGGGGAATTAAGTCAGCTTGAATGGCACTCTCTGGGTTGATGAAATTAAATCCATTTCCTTGAAGTTAACAGTTGTCCTTCTTTCAAGGGTTTCCTTTCATTATCTAATGTGTAGATGGCAAGCACCCATGTTAGAGATGTGCTTTCTGAGGCTTTACTCATGTTCTTTAATTTTTGCTTGGAGACTCCTACGGTGGCCACTATATATTTGTTTAAACTTTGTAGTCCTTGGTCCTCAACTGCAATACTATAAGCACCTGGTAGGTATTTTTTCTGTGTGGGGTCTTTTTCATTTCTAAAGAGTAAGAAAATAGTTGGGTGGTTTCTTTTAAAAACAATTCTGTGTTTGCTTTGTTGGACTATATATTTATGGATGGAACATCTGTTGTGCATTCTGCTTCATATGATTTATTGTTGGGTTGTATGTGACCAGTCAGTTGATTCTGGCAAAAGACTAGTGCTTTAATCAGATGTGCTGAGTTGCCATGTTGTTTAGCTTATTTCATGATGGTAACTTAGCTCCTCCTTCCTATCTCTTGTGGATAAACAGTGTGGGTAGGCTTTTAAATAAAGCTTTAAAAGCAGTGAGGTTATATAAGAATAGATTATGTGAACAGACATTGATGTAAATCAGACTATTTAAAGTTCTTATGAAAGTCCTTCATTAACAGTTGTCCTTGTTGTAGTGAAATATGGATATACAAAAAAATGTATATCAATATCCTGAAACCTAAATATTCCAATTCGTTCTAGACTGCATACTATTAATAACAAAACAAACTTGCTAATACACCTTATCTTGCAGCCGAAGTTTATTATTTCAAACGTTTTTGGTCATGTTAAATGACCTTTCTCAAGAAAAAGAAAGCAAATAAAAGATAAAACGTAAAATCGAACGCTTAGTACAAAAGAACCAATTTATCTTATTTTATCTTTTATTTTTCTTTTTCTTGAGAAAGGTCATTTAACATGACCGAAAACGTTTGAAATAATAAACTTCGGCTGCAAGATAAGGTGTATTAGTAAGTTTGTTTTATTACCTAAATATTCTGTTAGAAAGTAACATCTTATCTAAATACAGGTGGCCCTTGGTTTACGCCGCACTTCCGTCCCTACAAAAGCCGGCACAAATCGAATTGGCATAAAACGAACTCATATTTACACTGAGGTATAGGGTTAGATTCCACATAAGTGAAAAATACGCAAATAATTTTGTTTATTAATACAATATAATACAAAGTACAAATAAATTTAAGTTTTAAAATGTATTTTGTCATAAAATAAAGTTAAATGTTTTTATTAAAAATTTTAGTTTCGGATCTCTTACATTTTTCGGAAAAAGTATCCATCTTTAATTGTTTACATTTTTGTTTTCTTTCATTGAGAATTTCGGAATATCGTTGAATGGATGTGACGATGCTCCTTTTTACATTCGCACTTCGCTCCCAAGCATTGTCTAACTCACAAAGTTCAACCTTCAAACTTTCCATAGTCAAAAGGATACGTTAACCCGACTTAGAGCTATGGACGAGCGGAAACACTGATTGGTCGACCACCGGTCGCCATAGCACATATGTAAGGTCAGTTTGAGCGGGAAAATTAAGGAGAGATAGATATCATCTGGCCAACGAGAAGTAGATTTGTCTCATTAACATAGTTTTTGATCGCCGGAAGTGCTACTGCGTCGTAAGGTGTTTTCGTAAATGAACTGATACGGGATAAATTCAATGGCACTATGGATTCGGACGCCATTTATTGGACTATTAAGTTTGATAACTTGACTCGTGGGTACCTAAACGTTTAGTATTTTAATATTAATTTAATGCAAATGTATACATACCCAATAATATTAAACAGAAAAAATAAATACATTCAATAAAAATCTTTGTTTTAACGAATTTACAATGACACGGCTCGGTAAATACGTCAACACTGAAACAAAAATCAGTCTGGCATAGGGAAAATTGGGGAATTACACAGCAAAATCGTGAATTGTGCAGCGGCGTTATTGTGAATCGGTGTAAATTGAACCAGCGTAAACCGAGGGCTACCTGTATAATAGAAGCATCTCTCTATATGCCAGATTTGTAGCTGATAATATGCTCATAACATGGACAAGAATCCCAATATTCAGCAATTTATCAATGATATAAACTCAAATCCATATAGCTTGGCAATTAAATTAGAGCAAGAAAGCAACACTCGTGCACATTTTTCGGTCATTGTGTCGTGGTGTGGAGGACGAACAATAAATTTTAGTTATAACAATAAAAAAATAAAACAGGGTTTTATTTGTTTTTTTTTTTCAGGTGGTCCTACATACACCCGGTTCTTTTGGATCCCAAACTATGTTAACCATATATTTTCAATGCAGCCCGATATATCCTTTATATTTTTACAAAGGCACGTGTTTGCAACAACAAAAGGTTTACTTTGAGAGATATCTCCGCAATATTACGATTAACTTAAACAACCTTAACCTAACTTACATACTAAAGAAGAGAGTGAAAAAGAGGAAATACGAAGAAATAAGAAAAGTATAAAAGAAAGGTTGGTGAGGTACCCAGGTATTTTGAAAGTCTCCAGTCTTCTCTACATTGGAACTTGCGCTAAATTAGCCTTCCTCTCAGTTCCTTTCTGTACGAGCTCTTGAGAATTCAAGGTGTTCTTGAAGCCCTCAATCTTGGCGTCCGTCTAGTTTTTCCGTTTTCAGACGACCTGAAGTCTGCTCTTTGTCCCACTCGGCGACAACTTCGATTTGTCCTTTTCTTTGTCTGTTCTCCTTGGACGCTGTCTGGCAAATGTATCTTTCTCTCTTCCTAACGTTCTCAGGGCTTCTTTGTATTCCTTTGTTTCTTCCCTTCGTCCTTGGACAAAGGTTGTCCCCCACCCATAGAGAAAGAATGAGTGAGAAAGTTCTAGAAACATAGACGTGAAAGACAAAGGATTTAGATTAATATAAAACTTATATCTAACCCCTATGTACATAGGCATGGCTTACCACCACAATTGTACTCGTCTTGAAGATAGGGGGTCATTATCACCAACATCTACAGGAAGTTATCTTATAACTCACTATTTATCCCTTGAGCTTCCTATGATCCAAGTAACTACAAGCTGGTAACCTTTAGGACTCTTATTAAATGAGCCCACATGCATTGTCAAACTGTACAAGAGCTATAGTACATCAAAACACTTGGCCACCTATTTGGTATCAAACTGTGCATTATAATGACTAAGATCAAGAGATATAGGCTGAAAACAGAATGTACAGAAAAAAGACACACACACTGGATATACAAGTATTAAATTTATGTCATCTCTCCAGCACATATACAGAAAACTTGTTGTTAAGCTCTGCAATCTCACTTGTGACATTCCATATTACTCAGCATTCATTCAGTTATTAGTAGACAGTTAGCAGAAGTCAAAGCTAGTGAAAGATACTGTCTGAGAACTTTTGATTTTTGGGCACTATTCATCAGAGAGGCAGGAACCTACATTTCTATAATAGTTCTTTTGGAAAGTTTGTTAGGATGTAATTTATTTCATCTTATAGGAGTAACAGGTCCTGTTTTAGTGCATTTGATTATCCATGAGTCATACTTTTAACTTAAAGGAAAATATTTCAAACAGAAAAAAGATGTGCCCATATGCCATCCAATAGCAAGGCTTATGGCTAAGTTGGTTGTCAGAGAGGCAGAAAAAAGAATGCTCAGGACATTCCAGAGTAAAATAAAGTTTATAGCAAGGAATGTTAATGATTTTTTGGTAATATGGAATATTACAAGTGAAATTGCAGAGTTTGTCAACAAATTTTCTGAAAAATGTTTAGGTCTTAAACTGATCAAGAATCAGATGCTAAAGTTAATTTCTTGGACTTGTGGGTAGAAAAGAAGGATGATATGGTTAGAACTTTGATTTATAGGAAGTACATTTACAAGCCAATTTACATACTGTGAGACCCAAAGGATCCATTAACCTGTTAATATATTTGTTGGAATAAAAAAGATTGTATTGTTGTTTACAGTAGTCTATTAAGCTAGAGTTCTCCAGTCAGTATTCTGTCAATGAATACATGTTTAAGGACTCATATGCTACATCAGACATTTAGTGTAAAATGCATCTGGTGTCATGTATTTCATATGCATTGTGAAGCACACTGTGTCCAGTAGTGCACATTATGTCAATTACACACACTATTTCAAGAAAAAATACTTTGTCAGTCCATAAAAACTATAATGTTGCACCAATGTGATTGCTATATGTTATCTCCTGAATTTTATGCCAGTTACAGAGAGCAATTGAATGGATGCATGATACAGCAAAGTAAAATTTACTATATTTATGTCTGTTTTAGTCCACTTTGTCTCAGTGCTTTTCATATACTTATTTATGGATATCTGTGGAATTATGACAATATTCTGATGTCATAAAGACAAGGATCATCTGGACTAACACCCCTGACCGTGCTGTTTGAATCAAGCAGTGTATTACATTTAAAATGATACATGTAAGTCTTAGTGCTTGTGGAATCCACATGCTGCTGTAATGCATTTCTTATTTCTCCATAAAGAATAATTATTTCACAGTAGTGTTTGTGAGTATGAGACATTTGCCACAGTACTGTAAGAATTAGCAGATTACATGATGTGGCTCTTTAATAGGGAAATGCTACACATGATTTGTTAGGATTAAATTTTAAATTTGCATCATGTTCTTTCATTGGAAAATTTAAATATTATTGTGATTTACACATGTCCCTTTTGAAAAATTAATAAATTAAAAATATATATATAAACTTAAAGGTGTACAGAGGACAGATATTTTCTATGACGTTTAATAACAAAGGTCAAAACCAGAATCTTGCATATTGTCCAAATAAATGATAAAATATTTTATCTTTGATATAGAAATAAACATATATAATGTTTCATTTATGAACTAATATATATATATTTTATGATTATTACCAATCTGTAATTTCATTTTAAGAAATTGAAATTACTCAAAATATACAATTAAACATTATAAATGTCTCTTAATATAATCCACAATTCTCAAAATTTATAATTATTCTTAATCCTTAATAAACCTTAAAAGTGAATTGGTTTGATTAGATAAATTTATTTATTTAATATTGATTATTTTTATCAACAGCAAATATTCAGTAATATATTAGTTTGTAATACAAAACATTTTAAAACAGTAATTAAATAAAATTTTCTTATTACATTTTGCAACAAAATTTGTATAAATATAGTAATTATTTTTAACTTTATAATCGGTGATTAAACAAATTTTGTTTATGGCTTTTTGATAAATCCTACATTCTGTGAAGTACATATTTAACAGACTATTGTAACTGTATGCCATTTTTGTATATATATTAATTTAAGATTAGTTTTAGTCTTCTTTGTTCTATTTTCTTCTAGAACTTTCCTTTCTAATCATTTTCCCTTGGGTAGTGATGACCAATTCTTGGAACAAAAGAAAGAAAAGAGATGTGATGGTTGTTCTCCAGGTCACAAATGGCCATGACTGGAGGATCAAAGATAGTCTGAAGAACCAAAGTGGACTCTATCATAGTTACAAGAGAGACAGATGCCTCAACAAGGCACCAGAATTAATTCAGTGAAGAGGATAACGAGAGAGATTTCCAAAAGAATTCATTGTGGTATCCCACCCAAGTCATGGATTACAGCAAAACTTGGATACCCTGCTTTTTACTAATCCCTATCTTTATAATTTCTCAGCTCTATCTATTATCTCCTTTCTTCTCTAGTTTGTAAGTTAGTATATAAGCATTAGTTATAGTTTTTTGGATATTATCTGTACATATATATTTCAAACAGTCCTTTGTAATTTTCCGCCGTTAATCACTAATATAAGCAGTGTCGTACTTATTGACTAATGAGTTGGAATCCACAAAGAACCTGTTCAAAATACGTGAAATAAAAATATTGTTACTAAATATTTTTTGTATGTTTCCTTTGTTGGTCTACATGCATTTTGTGTGAACATTACACTATGAAAATAAGTGGAATATGATTTATTGGGAAACTTTGTGGGGTAGGATGAAGTTTGTGAGATGATATGTGTGTCAATGTTTTTATTGTTAGCTTTAGTCATTATTTTTACTGATGTAAGAAATGCAGTTTTCATAAGATGGTTGAGTGTGTTGCATGTGTAGATGAGTCAGAGATGTGAATTAGTTTTTTTTTGGTAGTAGATGTGGTAGTTAGGAATGACAATGATCATAGATCAGGGGTAGCAAACCTGTGGCACATTGGAAAAATTATCTGGCAGATAATGTATCATATAATTTCAGTTTATTACCTGTCTTTTTCAATTATTCTTTTGGTTTATCATACATTTACTGTAATTAAAGCATATTCATTTTATTTATTTAAACATAGTTATTTGAAGTATAGAACTTTGGCATTCATAAACATTTTTAAACATAAGTACATATACTATATGGCACATGGACTCAAAAAGGTTTGCCTGTTGTAGATCATCGATATAACATGATAAATGATCTAACAGCTACTAAGTTAATTCATTTGTATATCTCCTGATGATGGACTTGGTTGTCTCAAATAGCTATAGAATAATTCATAAATAAAGATGAACTCCAGAAAAGCAATTTGTTTTTGTTAAAAATAAACATATATCTTCATGAAAGTATATCTTCTATATATCATATAGTGATAAGATTCATCTGTATTTGTTTTATTAGTTCTGATATTAACTGTAATATCTCTATTATTGTTTGTATATTATATCAAGAAATTTGAGTAATACCTGTACTTAATTGATTTATTTATTTTAGGTGTTCTACTCAAAGTCAAGCTATTTTATAATTTAAATGATTCTGATGCTGGGTTATTACAAACATCATTTGTCATTAGTTACATGATCATGGCACCATTATTTGGCTATCTTGGTGATAGATATAATAGAAAAATTATAATAATATGTGGAATTTTGTTTTGGAGTGTTACTACATTGGCTGGATCATTTGTTCCTGCAGAGGTAAATAATTTTGTTTTATTAATAAGAGATTATATATATATACATTCGACCCCCTATAACACTGTTGATAATTCCGTTTTATATGAATTTCGTGTTGTACGAGTCACTTAGATTTTACAAATACGTGAGCCGTTCGCAGCCCGGCACACGTATTTGTAAAATCTAAGTAACTCGTACAACACGGAATTCATATAAAATGGAATTATCAAGAATGTTGTAGGGGGGTCGACTGTATTTCAATCATACTATAATGAAGTCTACTTAACAGAAATTTTTCACTTTTAAATTTATTTTAAGAGGAATAGCTGAAGCTTTAGAAGACTTACATAAAAAATATAATTTTTTTTGAGTCTATTTTTTTATTCTGTTCACAGTCCAACTCAGAAGTAACAGTAAACTGGCTTGAAGATATAACCAAATCTTCATTAAAACAACAATTATAGATTATTAAAAAATTTATACAAAGTTAAAAATGATCAAAATGCTGACCTATTCAGGATTCGGTGCTTTCAACTATTAAGGACATATTGAAGCGGTGAGCAAAGCAGTGAAAATAAACAAATGTATTCATAGTTGTAAGCTTCTTGCCTCTAAAACATTAATAATTATCACAATAGTCAGTTAGTAGAGATATGAGGCTTATTAAACTGCAATGGAGCCAAGTAATTGAGATCACATTGCAGTTTGATACTCATATCTTTAACAACTGGCTATTGAGATAATTATTAAATAAATGTATTCATGTTAAGACAACATATAGTGAGGCATACTGCATCAATTCCTTAGTAGATTGCATGATGTTTGTATAATAGACAGTGATATTATAGTAAAGAAAAGTGATGCATTAAAACAAGTTTGATTTCTTTGCTTTTATTATTGTTCATGCATATAAATTTATATAAATGTCCATTTTTATCTATATTAGTGTTTTTGCTGAAAACAACCTCTGGGATCAAAAAGATTTTAATCATCACATCAGTTTAGATAAATTGTAAGATGATACATTTTATCAAAATATAATCAAATGTTGAAATACTCATTTGAAATATGAATGGACTTATTTGGATGTTCATGTAGTTCATACAAATGATGAAATACATCTTTACCTTTACTTTTATTTATTACACGAGTATTACAGCTTCTAGTTTTACTTATATTTTTTAATAAATACCAAATTTTTTAGCACAAGTTTTCTCCAAAATAGCAAGTCCATGTTTTTGGAAGTAGTTATTGCTTGATTTAAAACTCCTCACTAAGGGTGCATTTGGAAATTCTAACCGGTGTTTAGAAATTGTAACTCGAATAACCAACCACATTTAAAAATTACAGTTATGATATCACCGGTTGTTCTATAGTACTTACTGAAGTAACCACAGTGATAAAGCAGTTACATTGGTTATATTGAATTACAAGATGGCTGGCACATTGTATCATGTGATGAATGTGGTTGTGATTTTAAAAATTTAAAGAAAATAAAAAACAACATTGTTTCCATGACACAAAGTGATCAAGATCAGAAAGCCATGTCGTCTCAAATTTCAGATGACACAAGACAGCAAGGAAAATGGCCAGCAATTGCTACAAAATTATTGATTTGACAGTATAAACTAAATGAAAACAAATTTTTCTCCGACACTTGTCAAAAAAGTCTATAAGTTCATTTTTATCTTTTGATGAACTTTTCGAATCTTCATCATCATATGATTCTTAATTGGTATTCAAGAGCAATGACAGAATTAATATCATCTCCTCTCGACTTTCCTCCATGTTGAACACCACAAAATAACCAGTGTGTTTAAAAATGCGCTAATTGCCTGGAATAACTGGCTAAGACCAATGTCAGTCACCACTACAACAGTGTTACTGGTTAGTTTTCAAACATGCCCCAAGTATATGCAACTCTATTATCCAGTAGAAACTGTTTCTCCAGTTTGCTCTATGCATTCTTGGCTGCTTTGTTTACCACTTCAGTATGTGTTTAGCCTGAAGAGACAACTGCACCATAAACAGTAATGCTTTATTCAAAATCAAACATCTTCAGTCTATTTGATAGACCATTTTCAATATAGAACATGCCAAACAAACTTGCATTATTTATCAATCTGAAACAAGGCTAATTTACAGTAATGATTATTGTAAAACTATATGTTCAGTTATGACACCAATTTCTTACAAATTTATTTGTTTGGTGAATTAAATAGAAGTACTTTTGACATTTCAAAATGTCTTTCTCAGGCAATAAAAGAATATATATAAAATTTAAATATTGATTTTAAAATCTCTTTATGTTATGTGAACATAAAAATGTTTTTAACCTAAATGTGTTAGCTTTTGCATGTATATGATAAAGATTTTGGTTTAAATTTAAAACAAATACAGAAAGTGTTATCAATATATAAAATGTGAATAAAGAATAAATAAAATATGAAAATGGATAACTAAGATAAGGTTAAGTAAAATAAAATATATATGTGGTTAAAACAAAAATAAATCTAGATAAAAATTAGGGTTTTAAGTTTTTATAAAGTGTTATCCATAGCAAAGATTGAATGGGGATCCAACTAGGTAACTAGCAATGCATCTGTATGGTAAGCAGGAGTTGTGAGCTTGATCCTGCTTTGGGCAAATTGTTTCTTCAATAATAATTTAAATTTAAATTATTAAATTAAAAATTAAATTTATTTCTTATTATTAAATTTATTATTAGATGGAGGTCTAACTGCAAACCTATAGCCAAATTATTTTATTTCTAATCTTTAAATTAACCTAATTACAGCCCAATAAATAATCCAGAAGTTCATTTGGCATATATACTAGAATTGGGTTGATGTTTGTGTTGTTGTTCTATATTTGAAGTATCTATCAGATTCTCTTTAAAATTTAATAATTTTGAATGTTTTAGAAGAAAAGATTTGCCCAGAGCAGGACTATAACTCAAAACTTTTGTTTACCATGCAAATATATTACCAGTTATTTTACACGGACTTCCAATAAATCTTTGTAAAACAATTAAGATATAATCATACAAATCACTTGCCATGCTAACTAGGAAAGTTGTTATGCCATGACTTTGTCAACTTAAGCTTTCACCCCATCATGGTATACTGTATATATTTGTATAAGCAATTAAGTTTGACTATTGTATTGATCAAATCATTTAATAATGCCAAATTATTTTAGACTGTAAGTTGAGAAAAATTTTCTAAATTAAAATCCAAAATGATAAATGATTTGATTAATATGAAAGTTTAGGCTTGGTCATTTATTTATGTGAAATATTAATTGTAATTGTAAATTTACATTTTGCTTTAATAAATATAATTGTAAATAATCTTGTTTAATTGATTAATCTATTAAATTAATCAAATTGTAAATTTTTACAAATAATTTACAAGTACCGGATAATAAAGGNTTGGTCATTTATTTATGTGAAATATTAATTGTAATTGTAAATGCCATTTTGAATAATGACTAAAATGGCTGTGCAGCCTGATAAATATTGATTAATCTATTAAATTAATCAAATTGTAAATTTTTACAAATAATTTACAAGTACCGGATAATAAAGGTTTAGTAAGTGCGATTTTATTAGAATACTGGTATTCAGAGTAGAAGATTTTTGATCTATTAAATTAGTCAACTTATTAAATATAATGAGTTTAAACTCATTATATTTAATAAGTTGGCTTGATCTATTAGTAGAATATATTGTATATATTAATGCATTAAAATCTAATTTATTTAATACTTTACTAAACATTCTACTATCAGAGTTTTTAATTAACTAAGCTATTCTTGTTCACATTACTTTGGATAATTGAAACTTTACTATATTTAATATTTCAATTTTGGTATAAAAACATTACATATGTGCACAAACATCATTGGGGTTCATATTACATATGTGCACCCACACACATGTATCATGCGCACATGCACATTATATATATAAATATATAATAATTATATATGATAATAAATATAATTAAAATACATATGTAAATTTTTTTTTAAATAGCATTTCAAATTATTTTTATTTTTACGAGCTTTGGTTGGAACAGGAGAAGCAAGTTACTCTACAATTGCACCAACCATCATTGCTGATCTTTTTTCACACTCAACAAGATCTACAATGCTAGCCATTTTTTACTTTGCTATTCCTATTGGGAGGTATGTTTAAACTTAAAATTTATGTTTTGTTCAGTAAAATAGAATAAAATAATAGAAAAAAGTTATTTTATCAATTGAAATAGTTAGTTTCAAAGTAATTAAACACTTATTTCAATAGATTCAGATTTATGTACAATTTTATCTGAACAAAGCAGCATCAATTTCCTAGTACAAAAAATGCCCGAAGGAGTTTGTTTCAGTGTATACCACAAGTTTAATCTATGTCCTCCTCACATTATATCATCCATTTCATTCCAACAGCCTGGCTACATAAATAACACCATAGCTGCACTTATTCATAGAACCTGCATATTACCAACATTGCAACATTTGGTACAATTGTAAACGGTTACAATTTATTAATATGACAATGCATAGGGCAGGATACACTTATTCAAGTGCATTCACACCCATGTTCAAAAATTCCTTTTCCCACCATCAAAATTAGAAATAATAATAAAGGATCACATTTATATATGCCCTTCCATCCCATATCTTGGATCTGTGTTCTTATACATCACCAGGTTTCAAAACTCTGGATTTAACCTTCCAATAAAATTACAACTACCCTTATGCAGAATACTATATAATGACAGGGACAAATTAACTACATTAGAAAAATCAGGCATATACATAATTCCCTTACAACACCAAAACAATGATGAAAAAGTGATATATACCAGGACCATAAGTGATCAAAAGCCCCTTTAATGTCGAAGAATATTCCTAATACGTATTTGCTACAAGACTTTTCAACTATTTCATATAGATGCATTAATGCATCCTCTGTTGAACACCCCTTTTTGAAGCCATACAGGTGCTCATTATTATACTTTGTTATTACAGACTCCAGTCTGTTTTTAATGATGCACTCAAAGATTTTACCTAACAGAACAAGATATACAAATAAAGTGGAATGAGGCCAGTATCGTTAGACTGACTAAGAACCCTAACACTATTAGGTTATTAGAAATGTTGAAAATTTTTAAAGCCAACCAGAAATTATTTTGTATCAACCATAGGGATGTGGACATCTTGCCTAAAGCATGGAAGTCCTATATGAAATGTAACCTGGACTTGGTCCTCTAATCATTTTGGTTTATATTAATCTTTATTGTTATTTTTATTTCTAATTATTAATTGTTAATTATAATCTTAATTTTAATTTTTTTTCTTTAAGATACTGTTCTCTTAGAACACTATTTAATTTTTAAATTATTTTTGTTGAATTTGATATTCTTATGTTCTTTTATTTTAAATGGTGTAATTCACTGAGGAAGCCCTATTGTATTAGGTTGAAAACATTATGATTTATTAAATTTACTGCTGGAATTACAAGGTGATCTGCTTATTACTGTTTCTCCAGTTAGATCCTGTTTATTTAAATTTTGAACAGTTTTCAATTTATTGTAAGAAAAATAACTAATGAGTAAAAATGTGATTTCTTTTATACATATGCCTGAAAAATGAAGTTCAGCTTTAATAAGGAGTCTATATTTATTGAAAATAAAAACTGCTTTTAATACAGTAGAGTGTCGATTATCCGAAAGTCAATTATTCGAAAGAATTCCAGTCGGCAAATTTAAATTTTCGCCAGTGCTGTGGCACTGCAATCTTTGGCTATGTCTTGGGCTACTCAAATATTTTGCTTTTGATACTAAATTAACTTCTGAAGTATAATTTTTTTATTGTTCTTATATTTTTCAATATATTTATTTTGTTTGTACAAAATAAAAAAATAATTTTTAACGATACAATGGTGTTCGTTAGGCTTAACATCGATGAAAATTCAACGCAAAGCGACACGCAATGGAGAAACATTTCAACATCGGACACGTTAAACTATTTTTTTGTACATAATCGGTTATCCGAAATATCAGTTATCCGAACATCCCCAGTCCCCAATTTATTTGGATAATCGACGCTCTACTGTAATTATATTTGCAGACATTATACTTTTGCATCTAATAACTAGATTTGGTATATAACGCATCTGTATTTTAGAACCCTTGTTTAACTCTAATTAGTCGTTTTCTACAAAAATTACGTATGTTTTCAATCTTTCTTTCTCTTTGGATCTTTTTTAGGTCCAAATTAGTCTATTTTGTAGAAAATGTTAATTCGTTTTCTAAAAAAAGACTTATTAAAGTTAAACAAGGGTTTTAAAATACAGGTGTTTTATGTACAGAAACTCCAATCTATAAAGAGTGTATGATAGATTTGGTATATTCCAATAATAAAACATCACCAATAATGGTAACGTAAGTTTGCTTTGTGTGAATTGTAGGTATTTCTAAATTGATTAATTAAAATGAAAGCTGCAATCTTTTACATATGAATATTGGAAATTAAAACCACCTGTCTATTTTTAGACAAAATTAATTCATGCTATTTTTTGATTTAATTATTAAAGTATTTGATATAATTTAATGTATTATCTCACTACATAACCCCTGGAAAAAGTTTTTGAATAGCAACAGCTATGCAAAAATTATTAATTGCAGGAATTTTTTATTTGTTAAAAAATAATTCAAGAGTAATAAAAATTTTGGGGTTTATTTCTAATGTTAAGAGCTATTATTGTGCAAAATATCACACTGGAAAAATAATTCAGAATATAAAAAAGAAAATTTTGTCCAATCCTAGTCTGGAAAAACTTTTGAAACATTCTCATCTTAGGAAAAAGTTTTCAAACATAATAGAAAAAAATAAAATGAAAATTCTTTAGTATTTGTTGTGCCTCCTTTGGCTTTAGTAACACATTTAATGTGGGATGGCAATAATTTAACAAGTTCTGAGCAATAGTTATCATTAATTTTCTTCCAACTCTGCAACAAAGTAGCTTCCAATTTTTTGTAGTAGATCATATTTCATCCTCAAAAATTTTCAGTTTAGCACAGATTTTCAATAACATTGGGCTGTTTGGTAGTCAAGGCAATAATTTAATATTTTGCTTTATCAAAAATTCTTTGACATTTTTTGTATAATGACAACTGGTGTTATCATCCTGGAAAACAATGTCCTCATTCCCAAATTGGTTTTCCACCACAGGAATTAAATAAGTGTCCAAAATTTCTTTGTACACTTTGTCATTTACAGTTTCTTTTAGAATACACAGTTCTCCTTTGTCTTTTTCTGACTTGTAGCTCCATATTATAAGACCAACAAGAAATTTCTTATGTGAAAGACATTCTTGTAGAAACTTTATATCTGCTCTGTGCCATACAAATTGTCTAGCATTGTCTCTACATCCAACAGAGGCTGCTTTTATCTGAAAAAAATAACTTTCTTCCAGTCATTAATACAGTAGACCCTCCTATAACATGGTAGATATGTTCCGTGTTTTATGAATTTCATGTTGTACGAGTCACTTAAATACATGAGCCAATCACAGCCTGGCATGTATTCAGTTTAGTGACTATGGCTGTTTGAAAGGTTTTTTCCATAAAATTAATCGATTCTAGACTAATTTGACTCAACATTTCCAAAACACATATACAGTAGATCCCCCTATAAGACAGGTTCCTATAATTACGATTCCTATAAGACGGCGAAAAAATTGTGGCGGTATCCGTAAACAACGGTAAAAAAACTCCTATAATTACATAAAACGTCATCGGGCAGCCGAACTACTTTCCGCCGTCCAGTGCCACGCTACGGACAGTTTAGGTGGGTAAATTGAGTTTAGTATTGTCTGTACATATAATTATATATAAATTATATATAAATTAGGTACTGTATATATAATTATATATTAACTTAATTTATTGTAACTTTATTATAATTATATATATACTTTCCGCCG